GTTTAACATTCATCTATTGTATTTATCCAATAGATGAATAGAATATCTAGTATTTCGAGTATTTACATTTTATAAATATTTTATTAATTTGCCAGTGGCAGTTGATTAAGTAAAATTATGAACCTATGTATGGCGATATTTATCCAGCAAAGCATTTTTCCCAGAATTTGAAATCAATTATTTTGAGTGAAGATTAGGTGAAGAAAATCCACAAATGTGATGCCAACTGTTGTCCACTTGTCCTGTACATTTACTATTTTTTTTTATTTTTTTTATTTTTTAACATTGTTCTTTATTATTGTTTGATTTCTTAAAAAGATTTTGTTTAACTCAACAAACTAAACCTTTTTATGTCGGCTCAATTGTTTGTACTTATCATATCAGGTTCCAAGAAATTCTTGAATTCTGAGAAGCAGTCGAATGCCGCTTGGAGTTACATCTTTATTGTAACTTAATTAAGAGGATTTTGTTTTGGTTGGGTATAATCTTTCGATATTGTAATATCCTTTTTATCCTTTTCTTTAGCTATATTATTATTGTGTTTTATGGGTTTGTCAAAATCAAAATTGTATTGCTTATAAGTTATTACAAATGGTACAATTTCTGGATATAATGGGGAAAATGCAATTTCAGTCTACTTCCTTTCGAATGTTTATTAATTCTATCCACTATTTTTTTTAGGGTTGCAATTCGGTACATAGCTTATTATATTTTATGCCTATTTCATCCGTTTTTTTATATTAATTTTGGACAATATTACTGTAAATTTTGTGTGAATTTTGCCAAATCTCAATTTCTGACATATATCCAATGGAACTTTTACATCCGATTTCTGGGTAGATGGAAAAATCGCTACCGGAAAAATTGTACCATTCGTCCACTAATTATACCCGAATTGCACTTTCGTCCTTTAATTATTATTTTTTTACTTTTGGTACATTATCATTTTGTTTTTGGTAATTTTCGTCCAAATCAAGGTTCTGGTGCTCATTTTTGCCGGAAAGCTGATGTGGCGCCCAGTCGGATTGTGCGCCACATCAGCTTTTTCGGCAAAAATGAGCACCGGAACCTCGATTTGGACGAAAATGGCCAAAAACAAAATGATAGTGTACCAAAAATAAAAAAATAATAATTAAAAGACGAAAGTGCAATTCAGGTATAATTAGTAGACGAATGGTACAATTTTTCCAATCGCTACCCAAGCTACCGTAAACTCTCATATTGTAGTCTCTGTTCATCAGAGTCTCGTTGAAACTTTTGGCTATTGGATATTGTCAAAACATTGCATTTCTAAAATGATTACTCTAGAAAATTTCAAAATGTATCTTCTGATTATATAACATATATATTAGGCTTCGAGAACACAAAAAATCAAACATTGCAGTCGCAATGCGAATTGGCAGCTGTTAACTTTGTCAAACAATTTTTTATCAACCCTTTTTAAAAAATTAAAGAATACCTTCTTATTTTGTCAGTCATTTATTTATCTAAAGAATGCCTCAATTAATGTTATATTTTGATCAACTTGAGTTTCACTTTGATAATCAACTTGAGTTTCACTTTGATAATCAACTTGAGTAAAGAATCCCTCAATTAATGTCATATTTTGATCAACTTGAGTTTCACTTTGATAAACAACTTGAGTTTCATTTAGTCGATTTTATTTTCTTGACATAATTTTACTTTCCTGTGAATAAGATTTATTTTCATTTATTTTACTTGTCTTCAGAATAGGTCAGTTCTACTTCTATGTCCAATTTGCTTAAATCGAATACACGATCACCATTCGACTCGTACAATTTTAGGACACTATCCAAATTCTATTTATAATCAGTTTCAAACATGTGAATTATCTTTGAAAATAAAAGATAATAGATTGAAAGACATTTTTGAATTACTATGAGATACGCGAAATAATTATACTAATTAATCGTTTCTAATTTAACCATTAATATTGATCTCAAAAACAATTTTAACTCAAATTCACCAACACCTGAAAAGCACCGAGAATAACGCACGACACGTTAGGGCGACTCTACGCAAGAGGAGGATTTTTCAAGAACCCATTACTTTTTAAAAGTAAAAAAAAAAAAAAAAAAAAAAAAAAAATCTTAATGAACGAAATTAATATTCTGTCTGCATTTGGCCATACTACGAAAATTCAGTAACTCCTTTGGGGAACACGATTTTTATCTCCTTCAAAGTGTTAACTCATTACCTGATTCTAAGGTCATCATGAAAGATGGTACGTACTCGGTTAGGCGAGGTCCGCATGCTCTAATACAATTTCTTAAAGTCATCTTGATTCTAAGGTCACCATGCAAAGGTTGTATGTCCCGCATTTGGCGGGGCTCATACCCTCTAAGCATGATTTCCTACAATCATTTTATGAAAGTTCATCTTGGTTATCCCGCAATTTAATTTTCAGTAACGTCACATGTTAGGTAGAGTCTACACTTCAAATAAATTGAATCACCGAAAACCGGTAATGGTGGCCGTAGGATTTTAAAAAATATCTTATTTTTAAAATTTTCTTCCAATTTATTATTATAAATGAGGATTTTTATAATGCGATTCTATAATTACTTCACACTGTTAAGCTAATGATTAATTAATCATGCATGTCTAACAATAAATAGCAACAATAGAAGAAATGATATAATTAAATCCCACTATTGTGGCCATGTGTTAGAAGTATTGCTAAATTTGGAAATTAAACAGTCAATGTCCTATTGTAACTGTATTTTCCTTATCAGACTAGAATTCCTTCACGAGCAAACTTTGTCCAAGTCAACTGGATTCGCCAAAATCTCTGAGATGCTCCCATCTTCTGTGTGTCACCGCTTTACCGCTATATGCTGTGTCTCCATGCCATGGTTGTCGCTGCCAAGTTTCAGTTGAGTAGTCGCGAAGTCTGAGTGAGTCACACCTGGTCGTCGTCGGCGTTCTGTCTCCGGATGTGCATCGGCCGCACGTCGCCATGCTCCACCACCCACAGTTTTGATCATCGAGGCGTGATGCTCAAGTCCCGCGACTAATTCGTGTTAGGAAGCTAGAGGGTCTCTTGGTCGCACGTGCACGCCGGTTCTGCGTGAAAATCCTGCTACTTGTTGTGCCAGCGCGTCATTGTGTCCCTGCACGTTTCCCCTGCGCGACCGGGGCTGGTTGCTCCGCGCTCTCGACATGCCTGGGTCAGATGCACCCGCGTTTCTAGTGTTTGTCTTGCGCCTACGACTACGACCATGTCACATGCCACACACAGCACCCACACGCGGTGCTCGTTGCTCGCTGCCAAGGGCCTTTCACCTAGTTAGTATGCCCTCACTAAGCGTGTCGCCCGCCTGCGAGCATCATCGACGATATCGTATCATGGGCGTGATTCTCGCACGCGTGACACAACCGTTGCGAGAAACTCGTGCGCCGCACATCTATGTCTCTGTGCCTAGCGCCTGTGCAGGGCTATAGCTAGCTTGCAAGGGGTTGTGCTAGACTAGTAGCTATACACTCAACGCTTGTGTACAGCTACGACTTGCCTGCCACAACTGTCTGGCCATCGTCGATCGTCTGGTCCTGGAACTTGATCGACACATCGTGGCACGTCGCCAGTCATCGTGGTCTGATCACCGGCAACAAATTTTGGTCTTCTGGGTTATGTATATTTTGCTTTGCCTCCTCGGTTTACCTCGGGTCTTCTACTGTATGACCCGATACCTTCTCCATTTGTCTTGGTCGGCGACGATCTCGGAGATATCTCGATTGAGATTCATAGGATAAATTGACAAGTTTTGGGCGTGTTTATGCGTGTTTATTCTTGTGTCTCTCTCAAATCGCAAGAGTTGTTGTGTATTTATAAACTACACCAGGGACCCTAAAGAGGTGCTAAATATGGGTTTCCCAAGTTTGGTCCTAACTGTTGGCCAAACTTTTTTTTTTTTTTCCGAAACGATAGAGATATATATGTTTACAATACAACTCAAAATGTTTACAATACAACTAGAAATCGAAAATAAAAACTGAGAGGACTCGCAACAATGCGGCCTAGAACCTCAACAACAACAAAACACAACAACAAGAAACTAAAGAGACCTTCCACTGCCGAAGCCTAGAATGGTCAAGACTGAAAATAACAAAAACACCAACCTAAGAACAAGCTAACAGAAGAATAAAAATAAAACCAAACTAAACAAACTAAACATGAGTCTGAGAGTACAACATCCATTCATTTTGGGCTATCTTGATCAGAACATGTGCAGGTATGTTGGCTTTTTCAAAACTTGGACAACAAGAAACTAAAGAGACCTTCCACTGCCGAAGCCTAGAATGGTCAAGACTGAAAATAACAAAAACAAACTGTTGGCCAAACCTACTCTGCTCAAACTTGGATAATATTTCAGTCCGTTAAAGAAATATTATTGCACTCCCCATCTAGCGCACAAATTATATTTGAGGCTCCAATATCTCGTGTTTAAGATATAATGTCCATCCAATAATTTAATTACTAGCAATATAATTAATTGACTTCTTGATCCGAAACTAGTACCACTCAAATTTTTATTATTATGTCGGAATAAATTCCACCAGCCGGGTTTAACATAATAATCTTTCTTAAACTCATCTCACGGACATCATCAAGCTAACACATATGATGATCGTAAATAATTTGAGCAACACACCATACACCGAGCACTACAACACAAAACATGTCAGAGTATTGACCCATCTGAATGGATCTCACTTTTTAGTGAATCAAAGTAGTAGCTACAGAGTGCACGTGCCTGTTTATTATATTACGGGTTAAGAGCACACAGTAATTAATGAGGTCTACTTTATTTACTTGGTCAGTACGGAAAAAAAAAAAGAAAAAAAAAAACTTGGCCTCCGCGGGTTGCGTTCAATACACAAAAAGTGTACTAGTCCAATCAATCTGTCAAGAGAGACTGCACAATTAACACTACAACTGTTTACGATGGGTTGTTTGATCCCATCTAGGTCGTGAACCAAATATTCATATTTTACAAGCAACTAATAATATGATTTTCTGCTCACCCGTGATGAAGCATATTATCCAAATGTAAAAAATCAAAACATAGAACTGTTTAACTAAAAATGATTCTCATTCAAAGGGATAATGTGTCAATAAATAGCCGAGCTTTCAGTATACACACAACCAACTAGGTGATCTATATTTGAGACGAGTTGCCGCATTTTTTAAAGATGTTGAGTTTGAGGGAGAAATAAAGTTAGAGACATTTTGTTTGATGAGGAATCATTTCGGTGCCTACTACTGCTTCTGACAATATAAAGGTCTCTATTCTTGTAAGTAGTCAAAAAGTAGATTTAGAACCTCAACAGGATAGTTTTGCAAATATTCCAACTCAAAATGGTTCGGTTATTCTAAATGAACAAACTGAACAACCTCAAGAACTTGTGCCATTAGGGAGATCAACGACAGATA